AGGCACCAGTCCTTAGAAAAGGACATCATGCTAGGAAGGGTGGAAGGACAGTGCAGGAAAGGAAGACCCCGGATGAGGTGGATTGACATGGTAACTGGGGTAATGGGGGTAGGTGTGTTGAATTGGGTGAGACTGGCTTAGGATAGGGCAGGGTTCAGAGCTTTTGTGCGTAGGTCACTATGAGTTGTGAATGACTTGATGGCACATAACAACAATAACTTCACAAATCATGATGCTTTTTTCTAGTGGTTCGTCTTTCCTGATAATGTGACCAAAGTAAGTGAATTTCAGTCTTGCCATCTCCCTTATAAGAAACATTCTGGTTGCATGTCTTCTTAGATTGATTTGTTTATTCTTTTGGAAGGCTATGTTATCTTCAATATTCTTCACCAACATCACAATTCAAAACGCTTTCATTCTTCTTTCTTCCCATATTTACTGATATAGGTACTGACCTTAGTGCTTTGCTTATGTACAATGTTTCCCTAAGTTTTATATAATAAACAACAACCCCCCCCCCAGTTGCTGAGCTTAAATTTGAATTTAAGAAATCTCACTCCAGTTTTGCTACTTCATAAGGCCTTCTAGAACATATTAGCAACAAAAGAGGTGACTACTTCTTCCCTCAGGAAATGAAGTAATTTCCCAAGAATTAAACTGGTTATGGTAACAGAGATAACTGTATTCATCAGTAAATACATTACAAATGTAAATTCTCATCCATTATTTAGGTGTGGTAAAAGGGAGCTCTGGCAATACTGTCTGTAAGGAGTTCAGGCTGCCAAGTAAAAGCTGAGTCTGAAAGGTGGTTCCAATCCATGGGCAGCTCTGTGGGGAAGGGGGAGGGAGGAATGAGTAATCCCTTCTCATGTGATTTACAACTTCAGAAATCCAATGGAAGTGCAGCTTTGGGTGGGCTTTGACTGGACATGATGATAGTAACAGAAGGATGTGTGTGAATTGAGTGAGAACCAACTGACCCTCCAGCAGGTTTTCAGAGGCAGTAGTAAATCACATGGAAGGAGATTGCCAAATACCTTTGGGATTGCAGTGTAAATCTTACCACTTGACCACCACTAGACCTCTCTAACAGTAAGATAAACACATATTTGTCAAGGTCTCTAACTTCTTGAAGATTATTTAAAGTTATCTTCAAAAGTGCCCCATCTCTCCAGACTGGTACAATCCCTCTAACTTCTATTTATTGTAAGTGAAGGGTTAAACATCAGAGTCTGTTTCTCGACTGGTTAATGAGGGCAAGATTCTTCTCCTCCATAATTAAGAAATGGGCCTGAGGCTTTATTAGAGAGGTGTAGGAACTGCAATGAGGTAGGAGGTAGAAGGGCGTTCCCTCCCAGAGTTTTTCTAAAACCTTTAGAGCTCAGTCTCAGACACAGATCTGTTTTGGATTATCTCTACAAAACCCAAGGGGAAAAAAAAATTTTTTAAAAAAAAGCAACCCCAAAATAAACACTAACAAAGCAAAACCCAACAACAACAACAACAACAAAATCCACTCGTACTTAAAGTGGACACGCATCTTCTTTGGGTCAGATACTCTTCTTTTGGTAGGACTCTAATGACTTAACTTCCCTCTCTTATCTTTGAAAAGCTAAACCAGAATAAGTTTGTTTTTTAGAGAATTTGCTGGATAGGGAAGGCTGGAAGTCCTTGTATCTTTTGAAAACTGTAAAATTTGTACTTGTGTCTTGGCTCTTATACATTCATCTTCTCCCTGAAAAAGCTAGAGGAGCTAAAAATTAGTGTCCCAAGACTTCCCTCACTCTAAAGAGCTCTAGAAATGTCATTGTAATTCCACCGCAGAAAGGCTTTGCTTAGGCCAGGCACTAACCACTTTAAATCTGTACATTTGTCGGGATCAGGCCACACTCCTTGGAATGACAAAGGAGGACCTCATGTCCTTGGTTAGTCCTATGTTCTAGGCTGGAGGAATTGTTTGTGTTGCCCTGTGGATACTACATCCTCACCCATTTGTTCCAACTGGAATGCTTTTCTCTTCCCTTTTTCCAGAATTTCTATTTCTCCTTTACTGAGTCAGTTCAAATATCACAAATATGGAAATTATTTGTTTACATAAACACTTTGGCTTCTCGGTTGATTATTCCCTCACAGGAAGAAATTTCTCAGTCTATTCCGTATGTCAAGCACAGCATATAAGAATTATTTAATAAAAATTTTCTGACAAAAAGGAAGACAGGAACAGAAAGAATTTTGAGTAAACAGATGCTTTAGTTAAACTACACTAATAGTTTAAATTATTTGTTTTCTTTGCTTCAAAGAATGGTGGATTTTTAGGGGTATGTTTTTGGTCTGTGATGTGGGAAAGACAACACTTTATAAATATTTTTACAGACCAGTTATCCTTTCTGTCTTCTGAGCTCCTTCTGAATTTCTTACTAGTCAAGGTCTAGGTGGACATTAGCAATATTTTTGGGAAATGTATGGAGCATTGGGACAGATAAGGTGCTTTTTCTAAACTACTGATACAGCACAGAAGTGAAAGACAATCAAAATCTTTCTCTGTAAAAGTTCAAGGGAAAAATGGTGTCTGAAAATTTGACTTGCTACCTTTTACTCTCCAGAACTCCTCTTTTATTGCATTTGCTCAGATGCAAATGATAACTTGAGCTTTATCTAGAGGTTTCAGTCTTGATTAGAAAGACCAGCTACTCAGCTTCCTGGGGTTTTCTTACCAGTTCAGTCCTTGGCCTCCTTCTTCCTCCTCCAGGGAGGGGCACTGGGAGACCACAGAGCCACTCCTAACAGGACGGAATTGGGCGTTGCTGGAAACGAAGCCAGCTCACCGCCAGCTCCCAGGGCGTTTGGCTACTTAGCGGAGAGTCTACAGTTCCTGACAGCAGGCAGTCTGTTTCAGTCTCCCAGCCCCAATGCACTGCTGAGCCCTTTGGCAACTCTCTCTTGCACTAAAATTTGCAATTCACTCTAAGACTTCAAAACCCTGGCTTCTGCCTGTTCCCCAGAGCTGATCCCCCAAACCCCAAGGTGAATATTCACAAAGATCTAGTTTCCTCAAACTCTTTTTCTTTCAAGTTCCTGGAGCCAAACTCTTGTGACCCACATACCAGACAGACTAGATTTTATCCTCCTCATCTCTGTAACCTCTCTTCCAGCCTTCTGGTTTTAGGTTGATTTCTGAGGAAGGAACTTTCAGAACTGCATCTTAGTGGTGGAATGTTCTCTTTTCTTTCTCCTTTTCTCTCCTGCTTTTTCTATTTCTAGTCTATCTAGTCTTCCTTTCTTTCATGGCTGCTTTCTCTGTCCCAGGGTTTAAGTAGATTTAATAAATCACTCAAGAGTTTGGAGATAAGTAAGTGAAGGATAAGGGCAATTTGTTCCTGTTCATACAGTAAGAGTCCTCCTGGTCAAGCTTCTTAACTGTGTGTGATCCTCACCTCATCCACCTCTGCTTCAGTGCTGCTCTTCGATCTTTTTGTTTTTTTTTTATGTGCTCCTTGGATTAACAATCATTCCACCCATCTCAGACTAAGAAGCTCCTTTTCTCATTTCAGTTCCTTAACTTTTCAGACCCTGAAAAGAGAACATGAAAAATGTTACTGTGAGGACAGTGTTTGGTGGAGCTTCCCGATTAAAACAAGCTTGGAAGCAGGAGTGGCATCCACTTCTGAAACAGGGTCGCTATGATTCATCTAAGACTCTATGGCACCTAACAACAATAGCAACGATAACATAGAGAGAGCTACGTTGGCCTGGTGGACAGAAAGTTATGTTACCAGGCCTGGTTCAAGTTGTTTTTCTGTCAAACATTCTTCTAGGTGGTATAGCGCTCTTCTGTACATTGCGGAACAGAGGTAACTCGTGGTTGCTATGATGCTGAACACTGGGACACTGATGTGATAATGGTTACCCCATAGTGAGCTGTGAGTGTTTGGTGGAGCTTCCTGATTAAAACAAGCTTGGAAACAGGAGTGGCAACCACTTTTGAAATGGCTTGCCTCCAGAAACTATGAACAGTGCTCAGGCCCTTCGTTCATAGGGTCACTATGAACTATAAATCATCTATGACTTGACGGCACCAAACAACAACAACAACACAGTCCTGTCCTACACCTGTGTAAGCTGCTAACTTTGTCGGGGGAGAAACACCAAATGGACGAGTCAGAAAAATTCCAGTTTTGCTACATGGTGGCTGTGTAACCTGGCTGGTAAGGTCTCCAAACTCTTAAGGTCCACACTGGCAAACGGGAACAGTTCAAATGTTTCATGGACAAAGAGCAAGAACACACTTTGTGAACTGTATTGAGATGGAAGGAGAAACGAGTAAGGGTGGTGCTCTGATTTCATTAAGTCCTTCAAAGGTCAAAGATCATGAAACACAGATTTATTTTGGTAGGTTTGTCTCTGCTTTACTTCAGGGAAAACTATAAACTAGAAAGGTGAGGAAATCCTTGTGGGAACACTTGTCTAAAGTGCAGAGTGTGAGCCGCAGGGTTTCTTTGCCTATGGAGGGTCCCCAAGATTGCTATTTTCTTGACTCAGCGTAGGGAAGTGGAATCCCTTTAAGGTATCTTCACCATTCACTTTCCAGACAAGCCTTTTAAAACAGGGTGTGTGTGGGCCAAACCCAAAGCAAGCTGGGACATTTCATACCGGCACAACCTCCTTTAGCTCTTTGCGAGGCCATCCAGAGGCCAGCGCAGAGGCCAGCGCCGGGACAGATCAACTGAAAAGGGAGGGAGTCCAAGCATTTGGACCTTTGTGCAGACGTGCCGGTTGAGAGGACTGGAGAGGAGGGAGGAGAAGAGGGAGGGCGCTGGGAGGGAGGCCCCACCTTTCATTCTAGCGCGGGCAGAGCGGGATGAGTCAAGCCCGGCGCGCACATTCCCACCGGCGCGCACATTCCCACCCGTGAGGCTCCTCTGTCCGGACTCGCGCGCGCTCCTTGTCGGAGCCCGCCGTCTGCCCGGTCTGGTTGCAGGCGCCAGGGCTGGGCTTCCCTCATGTATGGGCCGAGCCTAAAGCGGGCTGTGCTGCTTCTCCTTGGCTTACAGCTCACAGGTAAGGAGCTCTCCCGATTTCCTTAACTTATAAAGTTAGCCAGTGTGATTACAAAATCGCGTGAGTTTTGTCTGGGCTCCTTAAATCACGGTTGGGATCCCTGTTAGTTTTGGTGAAACTCGAAGTTGGGGGTTGCTTTTGGATAACTGCTTTTGGACAAACAGGTTTAGGTGTGTTTGGACTGGCCGTGATTGGAGCACACAGAGGGCTTTCTAATCTCAGGTTACACGCGACTTTTTTTTTTTGCGGCTACTCTCCATTCCAGTGCAGGAAGCTTTTGGCTCTTAGGTTTCTGTGTGTGTATCTTGTCTGGGACTCTGGGAAAGCAGAGATTGTTACGGAGACAGAGCCGAAGCGGTTTTGAAACTGCTCCAACTTTCTAAACTATAAATACCACAGTAAAAAGTACCCTACTGTATAAAAGTTTCAGTGGTAGGGCAAATGTAAGCTTGCCTGGAAGCGAATGGATTCAATTTCTGCAGAAGTTATGAACAGTAAGAAACCCACATGACAAGTGCCCTTTCTGCTAGGCGACCATTATCTACACCGTATGTTCACACAACATATTTAATCAAAGCTAGGACTGGTTTGAATTTGTTGCTTTCAGTCTTTCTTGCCAGTCTTCATAGTTTGGTCCAACAGTTTTGAAATTTTACTGTAAGGCCAGGGTATCGTGTTGAGGATTATTCAGCTGTTACAAGGAATGAGAGGGTCAAGGTTGCAGATAATTAAGTTTTAAAGCTGAGGCAGCTCAAGTCTGCTTTATACTCTACCCAGGCCTTTATTTGGAAGTGTCAGAAGACATTTGACGTTAACACTCCATCTATTAACCTCCTTCCATTGTTTTCATTGCAGCTCTTTGGCCTATAGCAGCCATGGAAATTTACACCTCCCGAAAGCTGGAGGCTGTTAACGGGACTGATGTCCGGTTAAAATGCACTTTCTCCAGTTTTGTCCCTGTGGGTGATGCACTGACAGTGACCTGGAACTTCCGTCCTCAAGATGGGGGGTCAGAGCAATTTGTAAGTAGATTACTGTCACTTTCCAGGGAGACCTGTGAGTAGGAAAAGAAGCCAGCATTTTCTCCTTGGCTTTTATTTAACTTAGCAGCAAGCACAGGATAAAGTTGGAAAACCAACTCTTAGGGCAAAAGCTGAAAGAATTGAGAGGCAAATGCAGGGGAAAGGGCAGGAGAGCTGGAGATGGGGCAGGTGGGATCATTGACACTTCTCTTGCTTTTTTGCCCCCCCCCCCCTGCCACCGGCAATATTAAAAACCTTCTACCATTTCTTTAGGTATTCTACTACCATGGGGAGCCCTACCCACCCAAGAATGGGCGGTTCAAGGATCGGGTTTTCTGGGATGGGAACCCCGACAGATATGATGCCTCCATACAACTCTGGAAACTGCAGTTTGATGACAATGGGACATACACCTGTCAGGTGAAGAACCCGCCTGATGTGGATGGGCTGATAGGGGAGATCCGGCTCAGCGTTGTGCAGACTGGTAGGTTATCCAGGGGAAAGTTTTTGTGGGAAATGTGGGGGCTTGTAGAAAAGAGAAAGACAATCTTTTGTGATGGTTGAAAGAATACAGGGACTAGCCCTTTGGAGCTGAGGACTCTAGAGGAAGATTGGTGAGTCCTGTGGTATAAAAAGACAGGCTTTGTTTACTTGTGGAAAAAACATAAACTGAAGTAAAGGAACCCAGGGAATCTGTTACAAAAATGGCACTGAGAACGTGAAAAGGAGAGGAAGTGACTTTGAGATAAAGGCTAACAATAGGCCCCTTCATTCATTCATTTCTTCCAAACACACTTACTGGGAGCCTTGTCTGTGCCAGGTACTATCCAAAATGCTTGACTTGTACTGTTGCTTTGAATTCTTACAACCACCCAAAGAGGTGGAAACCCATCACGGTAGCTACTGAGTACTTCTCATGTATCAGTGACTTTACATGAAACAACTTCATCTAATCCTTACATGTCTTTTTATTGCACTCTTGGCACCCTCATTGTACCAATGAGGAATTGAGTAGCATAGATTAAACCATGTGCCCAAAGCTATGTAAGTGAAATATAGAATCACTGAGGACACAACAGAGGTATCTTTGATGCCAAATCCTGCTGCTAATGAATGCATTGTCCCCTTGAAACAACAATATGGAAAAATGCCAAACAAAAAAGAGTGAACAGCATAGAACTTAAGAAGAGTAGTGGATTTTGCTGTGAATCATTGTTATCATTCTTTTACCAGCTGTAAAGAAATCTTATTTTCCTTATCTTTAAAATAATACTAATGTTAGAAGGATAAAATTGGACAAAAATGTACCAATTGAGCTTCATGGAAAATGTTTTTAGAGGCCATTGAGTCAGTCCCTGACTCCTGGTAACCCTATGCTAACCAACAAGTTGGACCACATGTGATCCATAGGGTTTTTACTGGCTGATTTTCAGTTGGTTGCCAGACCTTTATTCCTACTCTCTTTCAGTCTAGATGCTTCACTGAAATCTGTTTAGAATCTCAATAACACCAAAGACTGTACTGTCAGATGAGGTGCACTGACTGGAATATGGTAGCTGGGTCCCCCCTTTGGAAGCTGAGAAGTTACCATCTATTGGCTATCATATACGGGCACAGCCTGGAACAACTTATATGATTTACTTATATGAGAACTGGAAGAAATAAATATTGTTATTTCTGTTTTCTGAGCTATCGGAAGATAGTCTATAGGAAGTTGTGCTGCTACCCAAAGGCTGTGTGTCTAGTGGTTTGAATTCCCCAGCAGCTCTGTGGAAGAAAGATGGGCAATCTCTTAACAGTCCTGGAAACTCAGCGCAGGGTCAGCTGAGTAAGTTCCAATTTGATGGTCTTGGGTTCTGTTTTCAAGATGAGGAAAGTTACCCATTTTCCAGATAGACTCAAAGATGTTAATGAACCCAAATCATACAAATATATGGGAGAGCTAGGATTTTAAGCTAGCATTTTGATGTGTGCTATACCAACAATGTTCTTACCCCAAATGTCCAAGTCTGTAAAGCAGTATGACTGTCCTACCAGTAGAGGGTTGTGTCATGTTGGAGAAATCACTGAGCACTGGGAGAAGTTCTGTAATATCATTCAATATCATCCTTCCTCTACAAAATAAACAGGTTAGGGAAGAAATCAACGGTTCATATAAGGTTCACTTTGAGAATTTAATGAACATCATGGCCTTGAATCCCACATTAAAACATATACATGTGGGTTGATGTGGATTTTATGGGTCTACGGATGAATTTTTCCATCTTTCTCCTGATTCCCAGCTCAACACCCTTGGACTAGAATTCTCCAACAGTCTTTTCAGCTCTGAGGGCTTTTGTTGTTGTTACAGGGTTCTGTCCAGTTGTATAACTCAGAAATCAAGACACAGCATAGAAGGCCCAGACTTTACACACAGACACTAGTCTAGTTTAGGAGTCTTTCTCTCTGTGGTTGCATTCCCATCACTTACCCACCAGACTAGCTACTGACTGACTTGCGTATCTTCACAGCAAGCAGTGAACTCCTTAAGGGTAATGTGTTTTTACCTTTGTGTTTCTATCACTCTCTGGAATCTTAATAAATTTAAATGACTCAGTGACAGAGAGGAAATAATCTAAATTTGAGGTTAAGTAATAATCTTCCTGTGTTCTATAAGTTTTCATGATGCATGACAATCACTTGGAGGACAGGTTAAAATATAGAGTGGATCCCAATGCCAGTGTTTCTGATTCAGTACGTTTAGGGTGCACAGTTGTCAAATGACTGCTGTTCCTGGGACCTTACGCTGAAATTCTTTAGTGTGTAAGGATCCTGAGAGTAACAGCAGTCAAGTTTTTGGCTGCTGAGAAGTCATCGGTGTAAACGCACAGGGCTCTATGGCAGAAAAGACCTGGTGAACTGTTCCTAAGGTTGCAGCTTGTTCTTGCTGTTGTTGTGTACTTTGGGTCAGAACCAACTCATAGCTGACCCTCTAGCAGGTTTATGGAGACATTAAATCACTGAGGAGGAGATTGCTCATCTTTCTTCTGTGGAGCTGCTTGGAGATTGAAACCACAAGGCTTTGGGTTGGCAGCTCAACTCACCACTCAGCCAGCACAGCTCCTAGATTACAGCCTGGCTAACCCATAAGGCAGTTCTCCTCAGCCCTGTAGGGTCACGATGTGTAGGAATTGACTTGATGGCTTATAACATGGTATCCTACATACAAATGCAAGGGAAAGGAACATTCCATTTCATGGTAAAAATACATCTGTCTTTACTTTTTTTATCATGTTGTTAGCTGCCATCAGGTTGGTCCCCTTACACGTGGGGCCCCATGCACCATAGGATTGGGCCGCTGTGATTGATCCACCATCATGTTTCTAGGCTGTAATCTATGAGAACAGACTGCCGGAGCTGCCCTCCCGCGGACCTGCAGCTGGTGGATTTGAACCATGATCTTGCAGCTAAGACTTTAACACTGTCTCACTAGAATCCTTTGTGATCCATCACAGTCCTCCTCTCTAGAGAATTCTAACTTGCACTTTTTTCTCCTTGTAGTCCGCTTCTCTGAGATGTTCTTCCTGGCTCTGGCGATTGGATCGGCCTGTGCACTGATGATCATAATTGTAATCGTGGTGGTCCTTTTCCAGCATTTCCGGAAAAAGCGATGGGCTGACAGAGCCCATAAAGTGGTGGAGATAAAATCGTAAGGCTGGGCTGTTCTTGGAAAAATCTTTTAACACTTTTTATGCCGAGTCTTGGTATTTTATAGGGGGCTAAATAATTGCTGAACCCATGTTCTTCTCTTTGAGGAAATCCTATATGAAAGAATTCAAACTCACAGGATAAAGAATGGGTTGATGTTGTTATGTGCCGTTGAGTCGCTTGTGACTCATAGTGACCCTATGTACAACAGCCCTAAACTCTGTTCTGTCCTGTGCCAACTGCACTGTCTCTGACACTCCCATCCCGATTATCCCAGTCACTGAATCAATCCACCTCATAGAGGGCCTTCCTCTCCTGCGCTTTCCCTCCACCCTCCCAAGCATGATGTCCTTCTCCAAGGACCAGTCTCTCCATACAACATGTCCAAAGCATGTTAGACGGAGCCCCAGAATCCTTGCCTCCAAGGAGCCACCCAGTTTAACCCTTTCCAGGATGATTCTGTTTTCCTAGCAGTCCATGGTACTCTCAATACTCTTCTTCAGCACCACAGCTCAAAGGCATCAATTCTCCTTCTATCCTCCTTGGTC